AACTGCATGGAAAATATTAAGTAGCACAATCTTCAGAATTTCTCTTTTTGTCTTCAACGTAATAAAGCAGGTCTAAGTCAAGCAGGTTTGAGCAACATAGAGATAATGAATTAAATTTTTTTTTTTTAAACATTTAATATTAGACGACTGTCTACTCAGCAAGACTTTATTGAGGTAGAGTGTAAGACATTTCAAGAGAGTCCGGAGCACTGCATCGTGTTCAGAATAAACTGGAATCCTGACCACAGCTGTGCTTTCATTTACAACCTCAAATCATCACTCTGAAAAACCATGTTGCCAAAAAGCCTTAGTGGGAGAGACTTTGGAGGGCACCTATTTGGGAGCAATGTCTGTCATGGGTCAGAGCTGAACAGTACAGATATCCCTCTCTTTTTAATTAATACCAGTAGGCTGTCACAGCCTCCAAATGAGAAGTCATGAAAGATGAGTGTGCAGTCAACCACGCAGCTATCTGAAAAAAGGCATGTGTGTTTGTATTGATGCCTCGTTCCCTGTGTTTCTCTGCTCTTGCTTCTGTGTTCTCTGTTGTGGATCAAACAATTTAGTCAATCGGGCTGTTTGGTGAGCTGGACACGCTGAGAAATGTTCCACCAGTCATGAGTTATGACATGCGTATAAGACAAGCAATGTGAGTCAATATCGCACAATATCTAAACATTGACCGCCATGTCACTTTTTCATCATACCTGTGTCATAAAAGATCAATGCATAACAATAACATACAGATGATTAACAGTGGAATTCAAAATTAAAACCCAACTGTAATTTTGTTTGATATTGTGGTTGTTATATTGCCTAATTGTTGAATGAATAAAATCATGAATTATCATTGAATAATAAACATGTTGATTTTATTTTGTATTATTATTTATTTGAAAAAAAGGCCTTCACATGGTGCACCATGCCAGAAGTTTTTTTTTTTTTTCAATGACCAGCAGGATGTAATTTGATGAAGAAACACATTTAAATGGTTTATTCAACGTAATCTGTTCATTATACACCACTTTATTGCCATTTTATGAGCATCCTGGGCCTGCAAAGTGAAGAAAATGAGTTTGCTACCCTGAGGGAACATCATGCAGTAGAGGGTTAAAACTGAAGGCTGATATGAACAGCAAGTTGTGCTTAACTTATGTAGTTTGATGGAGGCATGAATAGGTACACAGCTCTTTGGAAATGAATTTCATTTACTTCCTTGGCCAGGCAGCCAATGTCTGACAAACTAATGATTACATTTTTTTCATCAAATTTAGCCTGAAAGATTTTTTTTTTTTTTTTGATCTAAGATTAATTGAATTGAAACCATTGAAACCATTTATGAAATGGTTGATATTGCATGACATTTTAAGGCTTATCATTTTTGTAAATGCTACTTTTTTGGAATTAAATTCCAAATTAATTTGCTAAAAATTAAAACTAACCAAATAGATAAATATATGGGTCAAGCACAGTTTAATTAAGTTTCCCACAACAGTTTGATCGTGATTGATGATTATGACATTAATGATTGATGACTAGTCACTAAAAGTTTCCCCAACTGTTTGGTTATGATTAATGATGAGCCATGATTGACAGGTCGTTCAGGAGTTCCATTATTAAATATATTTTGAAAGCCAGAAATAATGATTTTCTTGGAAATCAGGGCATTGCAAACAAATTAGGAGACAGAAATTTATGGGTTCATAAATAAATAAAGCGAAACTTAAAATATATGGTGCAATTACTCCTCTTCTAATGAGATTCGCTTTGATTTGGGACTTCATTCACCTCATTTAAACTCAACCCATTCAGAATACAATTTTAAAATCAACATCAACTGCATTTGGAAACAATGTTTTCCAAAAATATTCATTTAGATTAAGCTGTAGATGCCAATTGGAAACATAATTTGGAAGAAAACACATCACAACAGATACTGGAACAGCTCATCTGTGTCTCAAGAGTGCCCAAGTAAGACACTGTGCGCTGTCTAGAGAATACAATGAAAGACACATCATGCTGAATAAGCAGTGAGGTGCCCTTGATTTACTCAAAGCCTATAGGGGAACCAGATGGATCTGTGTCACCTGCCCAGCTTTGAAATTCACAAGCCCCAGCAGGATATCCACCAAATGAGGGATCACATTCTGTTTGATGCCATTTTTCCCTCTGTATTGGAAGATAAAATAACGTGAGATTTGTCTTTATTGCATATAGCCAGTGTCTCATCCTCAAGTCTGGATAATGAAATCTGAGGTTAGGGCTGCATTTCATAACAATGTTTGCTTGGATGTTTGGGTCGCTGGCTCAGCTTGGAGGCAACAACCTGAAGTTACTTGCCTATTAAAGACATTCAATATTTATGTAAGCCACCACAAATTGTGCAAGTATTAAATATATCTTTCATTCTTGTTTATATATTAACAAACCTTAAAATAATATCCTTTATACTCACCCTCAAGTCATTCTAAACTCGTATATTTGTATATTTTTTTTCCATAAGAAGAATTATTGAGTTTTCACACAGCTATATTCTATACAACAACAGTTTCTACACCAATTTTTTCAGTGTATGATTTTCTTTGAAACAATTTTCACTCTGAAATCACTCGTGATTTTTTTTTCAAAAAGACAAAGAAATGGCACTTAACACATTGAATTAACCCTGAAATTTTGAAGAAAGACTGAAATAGCATTTTCTTGTAAAACATACTCTGATAAAAAGGCACCGTAGAAGTATTCCATACGACCACATTCCAAGTCTTCTCAATCTACTTGATAACTTTGCAAAGAAAAGTTTATATTTAATGATAGTAGCCCCCTTTTAAAATGTGATTCTTAATAATTCTTATGTGTTTCATGGAAAATTGTATGCGAGATGTATGCGGTGGGTAAGTAAAAATTTGAAAGTGAAAATTTTGAATTTGAAAAATGAAAGTTTCATTTTTGGTGAATTATTCCTTTGATGTTTACAGCTGTAAAATATCAGTTTATGCTCACCCCAGCTAAATCTTCACTATGAGAGTCCAGTGCACATAATTAAATGTAAAAAAAACAAAATATTATATTATTTATTTACCAGACATTTCTCAAAGACCTTTTGCTCCATCTCTCATCAGTTTCTCATCTATCTTATACTGATTCTTAGAAACTGCACTGGGCTTTGACACAGGGTCAAAGAAAAATCTCCAACCCTGAGCCACAACAGAATCCAGCCTTCAAATACCACAGGTTTTATTGATTGACATTGTTAAGTGTTTGGTTCACTCTGCAAAATGATATGGATGTATTCTTGATTATCCTTTAAGTATTTCTATTGCAAAGACTATAGGATCATTGCTTGGTTTAATTATAACAGTAAATAGAGTTTAATTTGGTGATGTAAAATAACAGCTTAAACAAGCTGCAGTGTTTTAGTACCTCAATCCGGACAAGACCAGATTTTGACTCAGGTCCGAGACTAAGACCATATCTTCAGGAGCATTTGGACCTGGCCTGGACTTGGATTTAAATGAACTGGTCCGAAATCATAGAAAATATGGTCTTGAAATCTGACTCGAGATGAACTTGAGTCAGAGTCCAGTTTAGTCAACACTTCAGTCTGGTTTAAGTTTATTTAGCTGGTCTCCTAGCTTTACCAGGTGGCCCCAAACCCTCCAAAACCATCAAACGAGTCTGGACAGCAGAACTCAGCCAGCTAAAACCAGCAAGCCACCTTAGGCAGGATTTTTATTGTTTATTTTTTTCCAGCAGTGTATAGCATTGAAGGACAAAGGTTGTGCGAAGTTCACAAGAGGAACAGTAACTGTGTTATGGTGGCATTCAGCAGTAGGGTGTGCTGTTTTATAGCTAAATTCCAAATGACCTGGAATGGTAGGGTTATCTGAGATTCACTGGTTTCCTAGTCAGTTTAAATTATGGAAGACTGGGGCTAATTGTCACACATGGACGTTCACAAGGGCTATATGTCAGTACCTATAAGGTTTTGAGACAAAAGTCTAATTACGTAAATGCATATTTTCTCTAGCTGTATCTTTATGAATGTTTATTTTAAATACCTAGTTCAAAATCATCACAGCACATTAGAATTAGAGAATTCTGTCTTCCAAACTAAAAATTCCAATTATCATCATATTTTAATTGTTGTTGCATAATCAAACGAACACAAAATAGCAACTTATGGGAGGTTTTCATTTATTGAGGCAAGTCGTCATGTTGTTTACAACGTTATTTTTAATGCCAAAATATTGCTTATATATACGTATTTTTGCTGTTTCACCAACTGTTTTGTTATAGTGTGACAACGTGTCCAATTGAGTTGATTGATGTGTGTTCAATGAACTGTATCTTTTATTGGTGGACATGTTTAATTGTTTTTTTTTTGTATCAGAGACTTTAAAGCTTGTGCCTTTAATTGACTTTCAAAAATAAATCTGCCCTGAGAAATATTCACAGGAGTAAAACGTGTGACAACTAGCTCTCATCTCCCCTAAGTCGAGCTGTGAACAAACTGCAAGTGCTACGGGGGAATGCTTTTGTGGAACAAATGAATCTTCTTACATATTAGGCAATGTTTATCCTGAGCTGCCCTTGTCATATCTCAGCATTGCACATATAGGCCTATGGTATGAGCTTTATTCAAATGTACGGGGAATTAAAGCAGAGCCATTACATGCTATTACATTTCTAATATTGCAAGACTGCAGGGTCCAGTTTATGACCGATATCCTATTTCTAACGCACAAACCAGAAAATAGCAAACGGCACTGCATGCAGGAGAGGGTAGGCATTAGACAAGTGGTGCAAATCACTATCACATAAAAATCTTCCCTTAGAGGCACTTTGCTCATTGAATTTGTGGCGTGCTTGCAAAGACACTCTCAGCTGGAGGTGCATCAGCATGTAAGGTACCACAACTGCGCATTTCATCCGCTGAGTGCCTGCTGGAGGAGGAGATACGCATCATATATACCTAACCAACCAACCGCCTTTCTGGATCACTCTGCTGGTAGGAACCGATCACGGGGCACGTGCGTGCAGTGGATACGCCGGAGCGCTGTGAGTCGTGGACTAATTGCGGGGCGCTTGCGAGAATACGAGGAGCATCTCTGCACGAGAGGGAATAAATCTCGTTTTCCTGTCCGTCTCCACACAGACTTCGATTTAGAGGGCATCTATTTGGTGCTAAAAGTGAGAGAACGATATCAGGAAAGATGTTACCGACGACATTAGGGGGTTAGAGGTGCTGAGGTTCATCCCATCACTGCATATGGAGTAAATTCCCACGTCTTCTCTTATTTTGACTCGGAATACAGTGAACGGGAGCGCGTCACGGTGAGTTATTCATTATCCATGCGCTATTAGATTATTTAAAGTTAAGCAGTAAGCGCAAGTTTTATTCGAGATGCCAAATAATGTAATGTTTATACATTATGAATATCGTTATAAATATGCCTTATGTTAAATATGAAAAGCAAGCGCTGCTTTTACACTTGAAATCCTGACCACAACCCCAATTATAATTCAACGTATTGATAGGGATGGGAATTTAATAATTACTTCAAACCCGGTTCCACTTGCGATCTTTTAGTACTTTTAAGAAAGGAATAGCCTATATGGGGAAGAAAGGAATAGCCTATATGGGGGAGAAAAGAAATGTAATTCTCAAAGCATTAGGCTACTCTGCAGTCTGTAGGCTCTGTGGGATAATTTGAGATTTCAAAGGACAGATAGTCTGATAACAAATAAAATGTTTAAACCGGCTTAGACTTTTCACGTAGACTTTTCAGAGTGTCAAATATCAAACAAAAATGTGGTGATTTAATTCATTCAGTAATTCAGTCATATAAATGAATATCTAACACTAACTACACTCTAAAAAATGCTGGGTTGTTTCAACCCAACTTTGGGTCAAATATGGACGAACCCAACTTTTGAGTTAAAAATTCAATGTAAAAATTTAACCCAACGGTTGGGTTAGTCCATATTTGACCCAAAGTTGGGTTGAAACAACTCAGCATTTTTGAGAGTGTAGAGCAGAACTCTGTATCTTCCATGGGTGTCAATAAAACCTGTCTCACGTAGGAGATTTAAATGTAATAACATAGTTCGTTTCATGTAAACAAAACAAAATGAATAACTTGAGTTTTTGTAAGCAAACAATTCATATAACACCACGACGAATCCATAAGATTCACCAAAAAAGATTCAGATCTTTGGACAAGTTGGACAAGTACTGCTCACTGCAGAGCCAAATGACCTCCAGCTCCCCCTCTCTGGATGTCCAGCTCCACCTCTGTGTGAACTAATGGGTGGAGTTATGTTTAGCGATAGGGTAAGGGGTAGGGTTAGGGAGTGGTTGGGTGTCTAGCTCCACCCATTACATCCAGCGAGGGGGAGCTAGAGCTCCAGCTCCTCCCATTTGGCTCTGCAGCGAGCACCCTCTCGAATTGGACCCTGTCGTGCTCGTTGAATCGTATCACAAAAAAATGCATTTCTGGAATCGGACTACACTCATAGCTCTGTATGTTTTGGATTCACTAAAAAGAACAGGATCACAAGAGAGTCATTTTTTCGAGAGTCATACTACACTAAGCTTTTTTATTCACTCAACATGAATCATAATTTTTCGAGAATCACACTAAACTGGTCGCGATGTAGAGTAGCGGTGAAATAGGCCTAGTAGCGTTCTACTGTAGGAAAATCTGCGCCCCAAATCTCGTACTTTCACAGTGCAGTGTGTACTGAATTCATTGGAGGACTTACTTCTGGATTGATGATGGGCGTTATTCAGGTATGCAGGTGTGTAGAAGCAATATATTTCCGGACATAGTAGGCTACATCCGCCATGTTGGCATGACCTTTGAACCATATGTTCATTGATCAATGATATTCGATCAACAACAGTGAAAACAATTGAATCAGCTGTTGTTAACCGAATACAGTTTAACCACAAGTAACAACTTTCTTTTGGACATAGCATGACTTAAGAAAAAACACATTTTGTGACCATTTTATATTTTTCAACTTTAAATTATATTATGTGAACTCTGACCCATATGCTATTGTAGTAGTAGCAGCAGCAGCACATGTGTGATTTATTATGTGAACTGCACTGATCTCAGTCATGTAGGGCAGAAGATCATGGGGCACAAACATCACTCTTATCTTGCAGATAACCTTGTATTTCCTCAGACTCAAGATATGATGTATAAGGGATAAAAACTGGCAGGTGCTACCTATAGGTCTTCAGCATCTTCATTTGTTCTGATTCAAGTCATCTGTAGCAAAATTCTCTAATAATGCATCCCTCACAGTATGGAAGATGCATATGGAATCCCGTGGAGAGAAAATTCAGGGAATTGTGCTTTGCAAGCCTGGAAAAGTGATTTTTCTGGTTTTGCTCTGTTCTAAATATTTAAACGGATAGATATTGCTCTTTTGTAAATGGTTGTGTAGAATATAACTTGTCAGTTTGAAACATCAGTCAGTTGAGGGTCTTCTTGGAGCTATCTGAACGCTAAAAAGAATAATTGTTTAATCTAATTCCACAAAGTAATCAGGAATGACTGGAAAAAGAATGGAAATTAATTTGTTGAAACATCTGAGAACCCTACAGTTGTCAGTAAGAGAGTAAAACCACATTGTCATGTAATACTTTTATGAGCCGACCTGGGTTAGTTTCTTTTGAAGTAAACCCTCAAACAAGTGTTATGTGGATCAATAAACTATCAGCCTCTCCATAGATCAGCCAACACTGCCTCTATGGCCTGGTTTATAATCTCACAAAGGTGTGACTAAGCTTTGGGAACTTTAGTGTCATTATGAATTGCAGGAGTGAGACAGAGAGAGGAAGGACTCACAGGAGAAAATACACATTCAGCTCTCTATCCGTGCCACATCTGCTATTCAAATAGGAATGGGATCCTTCTCTCGTGTGATCATGTTTATTTATGGATGCATCTGGGATGCATGGCTCATCTCATTTTGTTGCTAACAAGCACAGCCAAATTAGAGGTGAGAACACTGGGAAACAACAGTGTGCAGAATTCAGTCGAACCACTCCACAGCACAGCTTGGCTTCCTCCGAGACTATTTATTCCTCTCATTGTGGCGTATAAAGTTTATTTAAAGAGAGACTAAAGATAAATTTAAACATGCGGGAGGAATTAATTAGAGATGAAAGTAATGTTAGTTTATATAACGGTGAGTTTTTTTCCCAAATTATGCCTGTCTTAATATCCATCTCTCGAATTTGCTTTCTGCAGTCCGGATTACAAACTTTTTTCTCTCGTTATCTAAGTGCATTTTCTCTATCTTTTTTTAAATCTCTGGATGAGGCCTAAAGGAATACTTCACCCCAAGATGAAAGCTGTCATTGTGTTGTTCTAAACCCACATGACTTTCTTACTTCTTTGGAACTAAAACAAATTAATTTTGTAGAACTTACTTGTGGTCCATGTGATGCTATATTCCAAGTCTGCTGAAGTTAAGTCAATTAAGTAAGTTTTCACTAATAATCTTCTCCTCCACTGCAATCAGTCACTGTCTCTAAAGAAATCTTTCAGACTGATTTTGTGAACCAGATCGAACTATTTTTTGGAGATCTTTTAAAGGGATAGTTCACCCAAAAATGAAAATTCTATCATTAATTACTCACCCTCATGTCGTTTCAAACCCGTAAGACCTTCGTTCATCTTCGGAACACAAATTAAGATATTTTTGATGGAATCTGAGAGCTGTCTGACCTTGCATAGACAGCAACGCAACTGAAATGTTCCCAAGTCCAGAGACGTAGCAAGGAGATCTGTAAAATAATCCATGTGACATCAGTGGTGCAACCGCAATTATACGAAGCTACGAGAATACTTTTTGTGCGAAAAAAAAAAAAAAAGACTTTATTCAACAACTTGTCTCCTCCGCGTCACCCTGGTGCCATTTTGGAGGTCATTCGGCATTTAGTTTGCTAGTGATTTTTTTATAGTTATTTTCAAATGTTTCAAACGTACGCTCATTATAAAAAGAACTTTATTATCGTTTATTCAGTTCTAACAAAACTAACCAAAATTAAAAATAATTTGCTTATAATCTCTGCACAGGAGAGACTAGGTGTTGTTTCCAAACCAAAGGAAATATATCAGTATCGGACAAAATGAGTTGAAACATATCGGCAAAAATCCAATATCACGCATCCCTAAAGATTATTTTTGCTGTCATCTAACGGTCATTTGAAGTTAATCTCAAAAAATACTGTTCTCTATTTTTTTCATACTGTACATTATAAAGTTGTGCATAATGACTACATTTGCACGACTGTAATTTTTTATGTACTTCAATAAAACAGTGAAGAATTCGAATGTCAGCTCTTTATTGGTTATCATCCATAAAATGAAAATAATAATAAAAATGTGAATTTTAATATTGGTCCATCTCAACTTTTATGATGCTTTAGCATCCTTTTAGAAGCTTCAAATTTTGAGTCTCCATTCATTGTTGTGTGGAAAAGAACGACTATAGCATTTTTCAATTTTTTTGAAAAAAGAAAGAAGAAATTTCCAGGTTTGGAACGACACAAGGCTGAGCAAATGATGACAATTTTCTTTCCTGGGTGAACTTTCCCTTTAACACAGAAGAAGCTACGAAAATACTTTTTGTGCGAAAAAAAAAAAAAAAGACTTTATTCAACAACTTGTCTCCTCCGCGTCACCCTGGTGCCATTTTGGAGGTCATTCGGCGTGACGCAACTGACACAGAACAGCATACGCTGTTTACGTCCAGCGGATATTCTCCAAAATTGTTATTTTATTTTCTTTTGCGCACAGAAAGTATTCAAAAAGGATGTCACATGGATTATTTTACAGATCTCCTTGCTACGTTTCTGGACTTGGGAACATTTCAGTTATATTGCTGTCTATGCAGGATCAGACAGCTCTCAGATTCTATCAAAAATATCTTAATTTGTGCTCCAAAGATGAACGAAGGTCTTACGGGTTTGGAACGACATGAGAGTGAGTAATTAATGACAGAATTTTCCTTTTTGAT